CCCTCTCCAATTACTGGCGAGGGCACCATTTCTCTCACCCCAACTCTGTCTTTGTCTCGTGCGTTATTAGTTCCCAATATCCATTGTAACTTGTTATCTGTTGGTCGCTTACTTGATACACTTAATGCTTCTGCTACTTTCTATCCTACCCATTGCTCTTTTCAGGATCTCAAGACTCACGAGGTGATTGGGCATGGTAAACGGATAGAGGGGTTGTATTATTTGACATTACCTTCTGCACTAGTTCGTGATCGTGTCGTTAATACTGTTCAACGTTGCAGTGTCAAAGACAAACAGCAAATTTGGTTATGGCATCGTCTCTTGGGACACCCGTCATTTGGCTACCTTAAGCGTCTGTTTCCATCTTTATTCCGCTCCTGTGATGAGTCTAGCTTCAAATGTGAGACTTGTGTAATGGCCAAGAGTCACCGTACTGTTTTTCCCTTAAGTAATAATAAAGCTGCCTTGCCTTTTGAGTTAGTCCATTCTGATGTATGGGGACCTGCTCGTGTGACTTCAAATGGTTTCCGTTGGTTTGTTACGTTTATTGATGACTGCACTTGCTTAACATGGGTGTATTTGATGAAGAATAAACATGATGTTGCCTCTATTCTCCCTGATTTTTGTGCCATGGTGTTTACTCAGTTTCATGCTCATGTTAAAGTTTTTCGGACCGATAATGGCGGTGAATATGTGAATCATACATTGAATCAGTTCTTTCGTGATCACGGTGTCATTCACCAAACTACCACTCCATTCACTCCTCAACAGAATGACGTGTCTGAAAGGAAGAATCGTCAGTTACTTGAAGTTGCCCGCTCTCTTATGTTGGATATGTATGTTCGTCATCATCTTTGGGGACATGGTGTCTTGGCCACTGCCTACTTGATTAACCGTACCCCTAGTCGGGTTCTTGATTTCAAGACTCCACTTGATGTGTTGTGTGCTCTTACTCCTCGGTGTTTGGGTGTGTTGCGTATGCTCATATTTACTCTCATCAAAGGAGTAAACTTGATCCTTGTGCTCTCCGCTGTGTCTTCATTGGTTATTCTACAACTCAGAAAGGTTATAAGTGTTATCACCCGCCTACTCAGAAGGTACATGTCACTTTGGATGTTACTTTTCATGAAGAAGTACCCTACTATGTCTCTCCCTCCTCTTCAATTCAGGGGGAGAGGGGGAGTGAATTGAAGAGTTTCGGAGTGGAAAATATGGAATTTTTTGGCGAACAGGATGAAAATGATCGGTTGCTCATAGGACGCGACTGGTCGCTCGTGTCGAGCTGGGACTACAGTACCGATACGAGCGAAGTGATCGGTCGCAGTGAGGAAACGACCGGTCGCGAACAAATCTGTCTGGATACGATCGGTCGTGTAGAAGTGGGCGACCGATCGCGAATGAATCTGCTTGGAAACGACCGGTCGCACATAGGAAGCGACCGATCACACATAGGAAGCGACCGGTCGCCCGCGTCGACGAGCGATAACAGTACCGATACGAGTGACGCGACCGGTCGCGAGGAAAGCCACAACCGGTCACCAGACAAAAATGATGGTGTTTTCGAGCCTCTCTCAGAAGGACATAACAGTGATATTGGCGACTCTCGTACAGATGAAATTGATAATATCCCCCCCTCTGCCCTGCCATTGCCTCAATCAAGTTGTGATAATGAGGTACTTTCTAGTGATATGCCTACCTATTCTTTGCCCTCACGTACTACCCGTGGGAAACCTAAAGTACAATATTCTCCTGATATACATGCCAAGTCTAAATATCCCATTAACCATTATATGTCAACTCATCGTTTATCTAAGTCATATGCATCATATTTGTGTCAATTATCTAGTGTATGTGTGCCAACTAAGTTGCAGGATGCTCTATCTGATCAAAACTGGATAGATGCAATGCATGTTGAGATGGAAGCCTTGAACAAGAATGCTTCTTGGGAGTTAGTTCCTTTACCAAAAGGAAAAAAGGCAGTTGGGTGCAGATGGGTGTTTACTTTGAAGCACAAGGCTGATGGTTCCATTGACCGTTACAAGGCAAGATTGGTAGCAAAAGGGTATACTCAAACATATGGAGTGGATTACACATAGACTTTTGCTCCAGTAGCTAAGCTCAACACTGTTCTAAGCTCAACACTATACGCGTACTCTTATCCTTAGCTGCTAACCGTGACTGGCCGCTGCTACAATTTGATGTCAAAAATGCATTCCTCCATGGTGATCTCAAGGAAGAAATATATATGGATCCTCTGCCAGGTATCCCTGTGACTTTTAAGGAGGGTGTGGTGTGCAAGCTACGGAAATCCTTGTATGGATTAAAGCAGTCTCCAAGAGCGTAGTTTGGAAGATTTGCTGCATCTATGAAGAAGTTTGGGTATGTGCAAAGTAACTCTGATCATACTTTGTTTCTAAAGCGTCATAAAGGTAAATTGACAGCTTTAATTATTTATGTTGATGATATGATTGTGACTGGAGATCATCATGTAGAGATACAGAGTCTTCAGAAGTATCTGGCTTCTGAGTTCGAGATGAAATCATTGGGTGATTTAAAGTATTTTCTTGGGATTGAAGTTGCCAGATCTAAACATGGTATTTTTCTATCCCAAAGAAAGTTGTTTTGGATTTACTTGCAGAAACTGGAATGTTAGATTGTAAACCGATTGATACCCCTAGTGAGCAGAATCATAAGTTGGGGAATATCCCGATCAAGTTCCAACTGACAAAGAACGTTATCAACGACTTGTGGGGAAGTTGATTTATTTGGCTCATACTCGTCCAGATATTGCGTATGCTGTAAATATAGTGAGTCAGTTTATGCACTCTCCTAGTGTAGATCATATGGGGGATGTGACTCGTATTTTAAGGTATCTGAAAGTAACTCCTGGCAAGGGGTTAATTTTCTCCAAGTATGGCCATACAAATGTAGAAGGGTATACAGATGCTGATTGGGCAGGTTCAGCCACAGATAGGCGTTCAACATCTGGTTATTTTATGTTTGTGGGTGGCAATCTTGTTACGTGGAGGAGCAAGAAACAAAAGGTGGTGTCTAGATCTAGTGCTGAGGCCGAGTATCGGGGAATGGCCCATGGTGTATCTGAGTTA